ACACTCCCCCTGTACGACTCGCACTCGTGTGTGCACTTGTGTTCGAGGTTAGAACACTCCCCTCTCCGACTCGCACTCGTGCGTGTGCTTGTGTAGGAGGTTGGAACACTCCCCTGTACGACTCGCACTCGTGCGTGCACTTGTGTACGAGGTTGGAACACTCCCCCTGTACGACTCGCACTCGTGCGTGCACTTGTGTACGAGGTTAGAACACTCCCCTCTCCGACTCGCACTCGTGCGGCGGTTTTTCCAAACTTTCAATCGCTTCCGCCTTCTGTCCACGCCAGCTTGTCACAACACACAACATGCAAATGGCAAATCGCCCATTTACTTCGCTACACGTATCATGTTAAAGACGGTCATCATAAATGCAGTACGTGCACTCCAGTTGAACTGCGAGTGCTATTTAAGACGTGGCACTAGAAGCAGACTGCAGCTGATTCATGAGTCCTGTGGTTTTGTACTGTAAACATGGTGTTAAATGCTGCTGCTTTAGCAACACTGTCACCCGTCGGTCAGCCAATAAAACCCCTGGAACGTGACTCTTCCCAGGGGGACGTGGGAGGGAGCAAGACGCTGCAGAAGCGCTGGACCACCTTCCTGAAGGCCCTGCTGGTGTGTGAGGACAGCCAGAGTGGACGGCGCTACGACATCCTGAAAGACGTGTACACCCTGGAGCACCGGCCCGGAGACACGGGCAGCACCCACTTCTACGGCCTCTTCACCTCCCAGTGGTGAGACACTCGCGCCGCAGGGGGACAGAACATACTGGCCCGCAGGTTGACTGACCGACAGACCGGCGAGCTGCTTGCGGACAGGGAGATGGGCCCATCTCATACTGCATCCCTCTTTCTCTGCCGAGTCAGAAACATTCCCCTGGGCGGACACAGCTGATACGCCTTAGGGTCTCCTGCACAGATGTCCTCTGTTCCAGACCGAAGAGATCTAGTTCCTTCATTCTGTCTGTACCTGACAATCAGAACCACACTTGTTGCTCTTCCTTGAGCTCCTCCTGAGGCAGTAGCACTCCTGGTCATCGACCGCCCACCAGCTCATTCTCCATGCCCTCTCTGTCCTCTCGCAGGGACAGTGAAGAGGTGTCCGCGGTGTGTGTGTACGGGCTGCAGGACATCGGGGCGGTCATGAGCGGCTCCTACAAGAAGAAGAACTGCGATAGCTGGTCTCAACAGGAGCCTCCTCCCCACCCCCGGCCCGGACAGGTAGGATTGTCTTTTCCTTCGGTTCCCCCTGAGTCCACAGCGAGCTGAGAGTGGGGAATGTGTGGGAATGGGAAACTTACTGTTTCGGTATACTTGACAGAAAGTCCTCCCGGGACGAGGGCAGACACTGGCCCTTGAGGATCAGAGTAAGGGGCTCTGGGTGAATGGTGAGGTCAGGGAATCCGTGGCAGACCTCGGGACTCCTGCCCATGAGTGAGACCTGGAAGCCGGTCTAGGCTGATGCGCAGTATTAGTGCACGGGGTCCAGGCCACACGGTATCGCTGTCTTGTACTGATTTGTTGGCTGGACAGCAGCTCATCTAATGCGGGCGAAAGGTTCATTTCAAGTTCAAGTTCACGTTTGTCATTCCAGCCATATACAAGCATACAGTGGAACGAAATGTCGTTCCTCCTCGTCCACAGTGCAAATACAGGCCGGACAGACAGGACACTGACATAGACGTTGCAGACAGGATACACACAGTGCAAAGTGCAGATAGTGCAAATTACAAGTCGAATACATAATACAATCTACTGTACACAGTAAACTGGGGGGATTTAAACCCTGTTTCTGGAAGTGGGGTGGGTGCCAGTAGATTCCCGGGTGCTGAGGAGCCTGTCAGCCTGCAGGAAGAAGCTGTAACAGTCTGGTGGAGCTGGCCTGTACACTGTGAGAGGCCCGTACACTACCAGAGGGTAGGAGGGCAAAGAGTTTATGGGAGGGTTGGGAGGGGTCATCTACTATACTGGAGGCCCAAAAGCTGAGTTGTTCCTGACTGGTGCTGTGGTGTCCACAAAGGAGGAATTGGCCGCGAGTTGCTTGACCTGATTTGTACGGAACGAGCCCAGCCCACGCCTGCCCTCTCCCCCCCCTCCCCACAGTGCATCACCGAGGCCCTGAGGGCGGAGGGCTACGAGTCGTCCCTCAAGCTGCCCGACAAGGTGCTGACGTACGTGCGGGACCACCCCCTGATGGAGATCCCAGCGACAGCCCACCCCCTGCTGGTGCGCTGGGGCGTCACCTACACCCGGCTGGCGGTGCGCCTGGCGCCGGGCCCCCCGGGGCCCCCGGCCACCGCGCTGCTGCACCTCGGCACCGGTGAGGACACAGGGCGGGGCGCGGGGGGGTGGTGGGGGGGGCTGGAGCGTGCCGCTGACCTGGGCGTCTGTCGCTGTCCTGCAGATCGCGGGGAGCTGCACCGAGTGTCCGTCCGGGGGCTCGATGACACCCTGCTGCAGGAGACGCCCCTGTTCGACACCGGCGAGCCCGTCACGCGCATCCTGCTGACAGAGGTATGTCTGCCCTGGAGACGGACTCGGGCACAGCTGGAGGTGCCCGTGGGCGCCGTCTCATCATCGATGTGGGGACGCCGTTGGGAGGCAGCCCTTAATGCAAGATTTAACCCTTCATGTAGAATATAGAAGGACATGAAGGGAGATAGAACTGTAACGTAAACGCTGTGACAGTAAGCCCGTGTTTAGAAGTAGTAGTTTGTGTAGTATTGTGGTCACTGTTACAAAAAAAAGATAATGCTGCATTAGAATCAGTCCACGGAAGAGCCACCAGACACGTTTCTGGGCTTCAGGTGATGTCCTACACTGACAAAATGAAGGAACTGGATCTCTTCAGTCTTGAACGGAGAAGACTGTGAGGGGACCTGATACGAGTGTTTGTTGAGAGAGTCAGCCCATGCTTCAGAATGGACAGTGGAGACTCGGAATTAGCTGCTAAGTTCCAAATGGGCTAGTTGGGCCTCTCCCTGTAACCTTTCCTTTGTTGTTGTGAGCACAGCCAGATGGGGTAATATATGAAAACACATTGCTGTCTTGAAGAAAAAGAATCACATGTATCTTCTAATTACGTGATAATTATCTCCTTATCACGGGATTGTAAATGATCTTGTACCTGTGATACTCAGGTGACAGCACAATAGTCATGCAATACGTACGTTTGCATTAGTTGGCTTTCAGCACAAGCAGTGGAATCGACTGCACAGTAGAGTCTTTCTAGTTTAAAGACAAGTCTGTGTGTCCTCAGGCTTCTAATGATTCTGTTCACACCAGCTAAAAACGCTAGCATTTCGTTCTGACTCGACCCAGGTGGAACTTCCTGCAGCGCTGGGCACGAGCCCACTGCTCCAGCCGAGCTCTCGGTAGCTCCTAGGCGCTGTTATTGTCCAGTGTAATAAATAGGTTGTTCATTCACTCGCATGATCTGGACCCTGTGATGACAAGAATTTGCTGTGTGGTAGGTACGGTACGGTGACATTTTCATGCAGTAATGAACGGTGTAGGAGACACCTCTCACCCCCCCTCCTCCCGTCCCTGTGTGTTTCAGGACTGGGTGCTGGTGGGCTCCCCCTCCTCCCTGGTGAAGCTGCAGGGCTGTGGTCAGTACAGCTTCTGCGAGGGCTGCGCTCAGGCGGGCTGTGGCTGGGACCCCGAGAGCGGGACTTGCACGGATCCCCGGGACAAGAAAGGGTGAGAGTTCGGGGCGCAGGGTTCGGAGATGTATGGTCTTAACAGAAGTGCAGTCCTTTCGAACGAGAGGAGCCAGTCATCCTATCTTGCCCGCTCGGCAGTGAGTAGCTGAGGATCTCATCCAGCTGTTTCCTGAAATAATCCCGGTTACTGGATTCAGCTGTGTAGCTTGTTCCTCACTCCCACACTCCTTTGTGTAAAGAAATGCCTCTTCTCAAAAACAAACGCTCTTCTTCCGAGTTTGCGTGTGAGCCCTCTGGTGTGTCAGGCCGGGCCGGGCCAGTCTGGGGGACCTTTTGGGCTTCCATCGCCTCCCGGGCTGGGACAGTCCCGCCAGTGTGTGGCTCAGTCTCACCCGTCCTCCTCTCCCAGACCTGGCTGAAGGCCATCCTGGGCCGGGATTCCACTCAGCGCCGGAACAGTGGCACCCCTTGTTTGGGCTGTCTGTCTTACACTGTCGGTCGGAAGGGGGATTCATTTCTTCAGCCTGTGGTCTTGTGACCTCTGCAAAATAAAATGATCACAGCAGCATCACTGTTTTACGCATCTGTTTTTCCTAGCCTGTGTGTGGGTGTGTGGGTGTGTGGGTGTGTGGGTGTGTGGGTGTGTGGGTGTGTGGGTGTGTGGGTGTGTGGGTGTGTGGGTGTGTGGGTGTTAAGCATCTCTAGTCTCCTTATTAACGCGCTCTCCTCTCTCTCTGTTCAACAGGCTGCTCCAGTCCAGGGCAGAGCTGTGTCACGTGGAGAAGGGTAAGTTGTTTTTTCCCTGGGATCTGACTTCGAATAGGCTGTGCCTGCATAATCCCGGGAATGATTTCTCGGATCTGGAGAGTTCTGCGGAAGGAACGATGCTGGGATAAGGACCGGACAGTGCTCGGAGCCGGAGCCGTGAGGGACTCGGGTGCCTGTGTGTTCTGGCAGTGGGCCGGGCCGTGCTGTGAGGAGTGTGGGGTCCGGGTCTGCTCCAGGGCTGACCCCTCCCCTCTCCCCTCTCCCCTCTCCCCCCGCAGGACGCTGCTCTCCGCTGCCGCAGGAGGTGAGAGCGGTGAAGGGCCAGCGCCTGCTGCTGCCCTGCGTGCACCTGTCGCAGGCCGGGTGCCACTGGGTGCACCCCGGGGACCGGCACACGCGCCAGCGCCACGCCCACCTGGAGATGGTGGTGTCGGACGGCAGCGTGGGGGAGTACCGCTGCGAGTGCGCGGAAGGGGGCGCCTCCGGCTCGGAGCCCACGCTCTGCACGAGGGCCGCCTTCCACGTGGTGCTGGGCGCGCCGTCCACAGACGCCGTGGAGGGGGAGCCGCGCTGCCGCACGTTCGGCATCGGCCTGCTGTGCGTGTTCCTGGGAGCTGCCCTGGGCGCGGCCCTGTGCTTCCTCCTCCTCAGGGTCCGCAGGGCCGCCGCGCGGGCGCCCCAGTCCGAGAAGGACGCGGCGGGGAAGGCGATGTACGCCGACACGCCCAACTCTCCCAGCAGCCCCAGCCTGCTGTCGGAGGGCGTGCCCCTCACCAAGAAGAACGGCGCTCTGAACGGGCACACCTACGCCAACGTCAACCAGGGCTGTGAGGGCAGGCCGGAGAGCGAGGCGGGCGAGAGGCAGGGCGAGGAGAACCCCAGAGTGCTGCAGCTCGCGGGGGCGCCCCTGGCCTCCTGTGAGGAGAGCTCCATCTGAAGACAGCAGACAGCCCGTGGTCCGGAGGGTGGAAGGACCCATGCTTCGTCTGAGCCCAGTCTTTGTGTTTGTTTTGCTGTGTCTTGTTTAGCTTCTCCCTCAGCCGGACCGGAGCCTCTGTGCGCCTCCGAGAGCGCTGAGGAGCGCCAGGCCTGCTCTCCTGGCAGGAGCGGCTGCCCGCGCCTCAAACTCTGCAGATTTAAAAAGTCTGCCCTGCTGTGGCGGTTTGTTTCTAGCAAAGCTTTTACTGACTCACAGGAGCCTTCGGGACCAAGAGGAGAGCCATGGACAGCCACATGTTCCTCTCGTGGAATGATCCGTCACCTGTGTACACACCGGGGGCCCCTCGGCCAGACTGGGGGGTGAGGAGGGCTGTGTGAGCTGGCCAGAGCCAGGAACCAGACCACCACCTGGAGGAGAGCTCCTCGTCATTCAGGCCGTTCTAATGCAGATCCGAACCTGCCTGAAGTCACAGTTTTGCCCAGCTGGAGAGACTTCTCTTGCGGAGATGAAAATGAACTTGCAATCAGGAGCTACTGTTCACAGACAGAATTTCCACCGAGACGAGGAGGGTTGTGCTTAAACGGACTTAATCGTAGCAGTGCAATGCTTTCTCACTTGGTGAGCAGTGGTGATCGTGTTCTGTGTAGGTTTGTGGTGCCCTCTAGTGGGGGGAATGACAATCTTCACTGTTCAGTCCTCTTGCACCACACACCTATTTAAGCCATTTTAAGATTTGAGCTTCTGTTGTTTGGCATGTGTTCTGGTTTTAATTCAGTAGAGGACTAATAGGACAAATCCTGCCCAGGTTATTGACATTGCACACCGGTTTCGAGACATGCAGACATATGCATGAAGTTCACAAGAAAAGACTTGGTCTGGGTCTGCTTTGGCTCTGCTGTCTGCTACAGCATGTGTTGTACAATGTATGCTTCCTGCACAGAGTGCTGAGGGAACTGTGTGTTGTGAAAGGGTAGTGCTGTCCCTGAGACAGCTGCTGTGCAATCGGGGACTGTGATAGTGTGACTACGATCACAGTTTTACTTAAAGCTGTTTATCTGAACACTTACCCCCAAACTGGCATCACAGTGTCGGAGCTTTTTGTTTCCAGGACAATAATCTGAAGTCCTGTGTTTCAGATCGGAATGTTTTGACTCCAGTTTGCGAGGGCTGAGCGCCAGTCCAGGCTGCCTGCCCTTGTTAAAAACAAATTGTGTTCAGAGTGATTTTCCTGAAGGATTCCTCCTTCACAGGCAGCAGCGTGCCAGCCCTCCTGCGCCCCCTGCTGTCCGGCGGGAGGTAGTGCAGGGGGACAGGACCCTGGAGGAGACCGCGGTGACACACCGGCTGCTGCTGAATCTCACCTGAATTTCCAAATATGTGCCTGTGTTTTAGACAGGAAAGAGACGGCTTGATAAAGAGCTTTATTTTCTACTTGCAACTGTTTTTTTTATTATTACTATTTATTGGTTTAAGTAGGAGTTGAGGTTTCTTTCTCTTCTTTCTCTATTGGAATAAATTCCGCCGCCCTTCTCTCATCATGCGATATATTTCCCGGGAAGTGCCTCTTCCTGCTCTTTCCAGGACAACTGCACAGCTGTGCTCGGCCGAGCAGGGTCCTTCCCCTGTACTCGGAGCTAATCAAGGCTCTAGCCTCCACTCCAATTACCCTATAATCCTGAGAGCTGTGTGCTTTGTGCGTAACTATACCATCTGAAGGATTTAACAGCGGTTGAATTATCAACGGAAAACATCAGGAACTAACCACTGAACACTGAACACACAGCATTTGAGTAGTTACAGAAGTGGAGTACCGTAAGTACCGTCTGGTATAACCGGTGTGGCACCAGTGTCCTGTGCTCTCGCACACCTTCACAGTGCTGGGACATATTCTGTTAGCAGGTGTTGAACAGAGCGTGCTGTGCTGTGCTGTGCTCGGAGGAGGACCTGCTGCATGTGCGCTGGGGTTACAGACCTGTCTCCAGGCTGGTGTGATGCCCGGCTGTAGACCTCGGAAACCACCCTCAAGCAGCACCTTGCTTTGCTCAAAGTAAAGAACGGAGCCGCGCCCGTCGGGAGGGAAGGGTGTCGGTCTTGTTCCTCGTGTGAGAAAGTGAAGTGGCCGCGGAGCCCGCTCCTCTCGCTGGACGGGCACCGAGCACAAGCGCCTCATTCGGCAGCTCTTGATCATGTATACAGGCAGGGGCGTCCACCAAGGGTCTCGCCGAGGACATCCTCTCGTGTAGGTCTCGGTTGATCCCATTGGCGTTCCCCAGCTGTGGCCGGTGTAGGTGAGGTGTGACAGGACACCGCTTGGGTACAGCGAGCTGTGGTGATGGACGCAGCGTGTTTGTGACAAGCTTGCTAGTGATGTGAATCTGAACCTGGGGTCTCACTGGCGTCCTTGGCGCCACGGTTCGTGCGCCACAAACAGGTTTTGAGACAAACCTTTGTCAAAAGGTAGGATTGGGAGCTCATCTTTGAACAGGGTCCGAGTATTTAATCATCATCATGGACTGTACACCCCCGTGTTTTGTGATGTCTTTGATGAATGAAAAAAAAATTCTGAAAAGTTTGTTGTAAATAGTTTTGGATAAGCTTTTATTTTTGTAATTTATAAATAACGCGTAATTTGTCTTTTGAATACTGTTTTAACTGTTGAAGGTTATCTGTGCAGGAATGTGATTTGTCCTATTGTAAATAATAAAGCTACCTCTCACTGTACACAGTCTCTCTCTGCAGGACAGCTAAAACCATTTCAAGTTTAAAATCGGGATCAAATCAGAACTTAAGTAGTTGCGAAGAAACAAATGCGCTGTAGACATCCAAAAGCTGTTACCTAAAAGTTTAGCAATGTATAATAAATGGGATTTCTCTTTTATAGGAACAAGTAACAGGTTTATTCCATGCTGAAAAAAAGAAGAACGAGAACACAACGTTTCGGCCGTGGAGCCTTCTTCAGGTGTGTGAAGCCTTCTTCAGGTGTGACACACCTGAAGAAGGCTCCAAGGCCGAAACGTTGTGTTCTCTTTCTTCTTTTTTTCAGCATGGAATAAACCTATTACTTGTTCCTTTGCAGCCTACGCATGCTGACGCAGCTACCCACCTTTCTCTTTTATAGCCTATCTTATACAATAATTTCACTCTACTGATACAGTTTAGCTGAAAGATTCAGTATTTGAATGACTTACAATTTTACAGTTTACAGTTTTATAATTTTAGTATAAGCCCAATTTTATAAGTGACATATTTCAGTTTTATCTAATCAAAATCGGTGTTTCTCTGATACCATCCTGGTTTTAAATATTTGCCAAAGGACAGCAGTGGAATGCTTACAGTTTCACTCCTGTTTCTACCTGCCAGAATCGAAATGGATATAATTTAGGAGGAGCAGTGGTCCTGTCCTAACGTTACTCCTCTGATCACATCTGGCCCACAGGAGCCTCCCCCTCTCATCTGTATGGTTTCTTAACTAGCACTCCATCCATTGAATCTTTTAGGGGGAACTTTATCAAAAACCCTCTGAACAAGCAAATGTTCTTATTGGAATCTCTGATGGTATCCATTATCATTGCTGTTCTAACAAGAGCTCTTTCAAGACAGTTTTGCCTTTTGCTAAGTCATGTTCATGTTGACTGCCCCTCAGTGGGAAGACGTCCATCCACCCTGTTTCTGACCGCTTCCTTCAGTTCAGGGTCACAGGGCAGCCAGAACCTAACCTGGTGAGAAACATCTGTCTCTCACACACACACGGCCAGTTTTTTACTATTATGTCTTAGGACAATGGGAGGAAACCCACATGAACACAGAAAGAACATACAAACTCCACACAGACAGCACCCAGGTCCAGAACTGAACCCAGGGCCCCAGCACTGTGAGGCAGCAATGATAACCACTGCACCACTGTGCTGCCCAGTGTGAGAACTATTGCTCTATTATAACATGGGGCAGGTTGCTCACCCATTTTTAAGTACAGGTCCTGTGTTTCCAACACTCCTCTCACTCCAGTACTGCTCATTATTTATGGATCCCATGGCCCTTTTAAAAATAGAACAGTGGTGGGATTTCACTCTGGGCTTGCATTTTGTAGCCTTCCTAAAGTACACCCCTTAATTTAACAGGTGAATTTCTCACTCGTCCCTTTGATCCGATGTGCAGTGGGTTTGCTGGTGCATAAAACATCCTGCAACACACAGATGCGTGAAGTGTGTCTGCTATATACAAAGAACAGTTAGGATCCTTTGGGATGAATATCGACTCAAAATATTTGCTTCTTTTCACAAAGAATAGTCTTGAGCGCCTTCTCAGCCTGCTGACTGTAGCACAAACTCAGAGCTTCAAGGCACAGCTGGGAGAAATTTGAAACTCGGCGACATACTACTAAATGATGAAAACAGGCTGAATAGCTCCTCTTGCTTACAGTCTTTCTTACAATCCTATGGAAGATAATCAGACACCTAGTGCCGATGCAGTTAAAAGACACTTAGAAACCTAGGCTGAAGCTGTAATGAAAACATTGCTAGAATGTCCTCCTTAAAATACTGAGATTCAACCCACAGCCGCCACTGCTGTGGTCACTAACTGGTAAAAGCCATGCAGTACTGTTGAAGCAGTTCTGGCAATTCTGAACAGGTTTAAGATGTTCATTCCAAAACAATCCCATTAAAAGTCATATCTTTAGAATGTTTAACATCTGTGCTCTTTTCTAGTGTAACAGAAGTGTACCCTGTGAAGGCTGTTCTTTCTTACGAGGTTGTTTCAGCCTTGATGTTCTGAGTGTCAGTGTGTGAGACCGCAATGCAGACATGTACAACTCCAGTCCTTGATGGCAGCTGCAGTCTCCAGGTTTTATTGCTTTCTTTCAATCCATCTCATTTTAAAAACACAAGACAGGCCTAAAATTGATACAGCTGTACAGGAGATCGGTTCCGTTAGGTGATGCAATGCAGAAGAAACTGAGTTGTAAGATCAGGGTGCATCTCTGCTGTGTGAGATGTGTTTGCTTGCCTTACGTGGTTCTTTGAGTGCTAGAGCAGGGGTTGCCTGACGGGCAGCAGCCCTGAAAGTGGGTGTGTTCGTGCGCGTGTGCGGCTGCAATTCAGGTGTGCTGGGTGCTGCCCTCGCCCTCGCCCGCATGGCAGTGAGCTGGGCCCCTCAGCCTGCGCAGGTCCTGCACATACTGCCTCTCCCGGAGCAGCTGCTGGCCCTGCTCCTGCAGCCTGCCCTGGTGGAGGCGGAGATCGCGGGCCCGCTGGATCAGCTGCAGCAGCTCCCCGCGCAGCTGCCGGTTCTCCTGCGCCACCTGCTGAGTGTGTGCAGCCAGGCAGCGCGACGCCTCCTGCAAGCAAGCACAGGGAATCGGGCTTGGTGATCTAAAGCTAAAGGTTCCAGATACTACTCTTCTACCTCCCAGGTTTTTTTTATATTGTGTGCAAGCAGCTTCTTCTCGCATCGCGGGGTTTCCCGTGGGTGTACTGGCGCCGACTCTGCCTGTGGTGCTGTGTGTGAGGCTCACTGGGTCACTGGGCCCGGTCGAGCCCCAGTGGGAGCCGTGCTGTGGGCCTGCTCATCGCCAGGGCTGGCTGGCACACTCACCCTGTTGGCGGCCACAGCGAGCGCCTGCACCTCGTGCCGGGCCTGGCTCTCGTACTGCACCTTGTTGCCCAGGAAGCCGGCCTTCAGGTGCTGCAGGCTCTCGGAGTGGCGGGCGCGCATGGTCAGCACCTCCTGCTCCAGCTCCTGGATGCGTCCCAGCTGCTGCTGCTGCAGGCTCTGTGTGGGGCAATAATATTCTACACTGCACTCACTCTTTTCATACACACAGGATCCCAAAGGGCTTAACACAGCCACTGGAAACAACACAGAAATAAATCTATTCAATAATGATTCAAATGTTTCGCTGGTGGTGGGAGTGAAACATGAGAGGATTTAAGAATGATGTAGCAAAAGTTTTCAAGTGGAAGGCAGCCAATCCTATTTTGCTATTGGCAAGTAATTAAAGGGCTTTTGTTATGCTGAGTGAAATCCAGTGGTTTAAAGTGTGATTAAGGGGGTGGATATTCAGAAATCTCTTTAAAAAGTAAATCCACCCCCACTGAACTAGTATTGAGCCTGGATGAGTTATGCATACTACCTTATATTCCTGCATATCAGAAATCTCCAGATTCAATACAGACAGCTCATTCTCTTTCTCCAGGATCTGCCTTTTCAGCTCTGAAACACAGAAACACATGGATGAGGCACGCTCTCAGTTCTTTTGTGGATTCAGAGGTGTTATATACTGTATGTAACATCATGCCCATGTATGAGACATCACAAAACCTTTGGTTTCTGCATCTGCATCCTGTGTTTTCTGTCTCTCTCACCAGTGGACTGCCCCTTGTGCGTGTCCAGCAGCTCCTCTCTCTGTCTCCTCAGCTTCTCCAGTTCTACTTGGTTCTGGTCACTCAGACTGATGATGGCATTCTGACGTTTCTGTGTCCTCTTGGACATGTAGGACATGTACTCTTGCTGTCAGTGGGAAGACAGGAGAGCGCATCTACATCAAATCATTGAGACTTGATGTAGGAAATCAATTTTAAATCTAAGGAGTATACAGTAATGGCCCAACCAGCACATCTAAACTGTTTCTGCTTCTGATTTATTAAACTCTCAAACACTCACTTACATTGGAATTTACCAAATAAAACCTGCTGACCTGCTGTATTTCAGCAGCTGTCTTTAGGTCTTTCTCATACAGAGTCCCATTTAGTACAATTGTGGACGCACAGCAGGGAGTCAGGGAATGCAGCAGGCAAGACTGGCATTGACAACACCCAGCTGACAACCTGCTCAACATACATTGACAAAGCCCCTTTGAGAGATACATCTGGTGGAATGTTCTGTAGCTCCATTTAATGGATGGCAGCAGATCAGCCATCAGTCATTTCTAACAGTTCAGCGCATGACTATCACTGGGTACAGACCACACTGGTTCTGAGCTGTGGGCGTGTACTGGAATTACATGGCACTGCCTTGAGATCTATACTGGGATGATCACAAACGTTCTGGCTGGTATGGGAGCCTCCAAAGACGGGCGGAGACAACGCGATCTTTTTAGTCACGGCAGGTCATGCCCGAGGTTTCGATTCGCTGAAATGAAGTAGACAAGGTGGGCATCTCCTCGTCTCACTCCGTTCAGCTCAGGGCCTGTCCCCATTCCCCCGAGTCCCTCTTTCACTTCCACACTCAAATCCCACCACACGCGGGAGAATATCCACTCTCACAATGTCAGCAAAAACAGCGGGACTGTCCCATTTTAGTACCTAAAATGTTTCTAAATTATAAAATATTTCAATAGAAAAAAATATTTAATATGTGACATCAAGTCCAATGGATTCATTTCGTTTGTGTAGAACACCTTTCTCCTAACTTATGTGAAACACTGTGTTTAAATATTTGCAGTGGGTGATTTTCTCATGCCTGACTCCCTCTCCCCCCTCACTCACACTCTCCATGCGCGTCTGGTGAGCCTCCTGCTGCAGATACTCGTTTTCCCGGCGTCTGGGGTGGGGATGGGTTAAGGACATGATCGAGCAGCGAAACGGACAGACATGCCCCGTGACACAGGTCCCCCGGCGGTGTGTGTGACTGTGTGTGCGGTAGCCTGCATGGGCCGCTCTGCGAAGCGTGTGGTGTGTGGAAAGGCATGCACTTCATTCCGATGGAAAAATAACGACTGGGATACATTCATCAATACTATACTGTACACTGTATATTCATCAGCTGAGAATTCATGAAGAAGTAGTGGTCACCTTACTTTTATGACCGAAGATGAAAGAGCCCACCAGGACTGAGACAGAATAGTGACTGAGTTTCAGCAGTACCCTCCGTGGGAGTGGAATTATCGGAATCGGTCATGTGCTCCCCTCAGTGGCAAGCTGGTGTGCTGGGACACAGTGCCGTCTCCCTAATAAGGATACAGGTGCTCCACTTTTCTCCTCAGACTGTTCAGGGCCTCTGTCAGCTGCTCATACCTGGAAATACCAAGCCAACAGGCACAGCTCGAAGGAATGCAGGAGTGGTGGCGATGAGGGCACGTGCCCATTCTTACGCTGTTTCAGACACGCTGGAGTCTGTGGTAACTAGCAGCTGCCATTGACTTGTCTTGGCTCTAAAACAAGCCTCTTGTTTGGCTCTCAAAAGATTTGCCACCTGGAAGGCTGCGTTTGTCACAAGACCACAAGAAGTTCTGCTAACCTGCGGGATCTGTCATGGATTTAATCATTCTTTTAAGGATTATATTATAAAACAATGCATGTGGCAGCAATATTTCTTATGTGATTGTTAATTTTTTTACTTCATATGCAGTTGTTTCTAAACATCCATATCTTTCAGTTTTTATGAAATTCTCCTTTTCAATATTCACTTTACTATTTAATTTATTCATCAGCTATTTGAAATATACTGTATATTTTAAAGCCATACAGTATATGAAGAAGGCATATGCTGTAGCGTAATCCTGAATATCCTACTTTTTTAAATGAAAATGACACCTACACATGTGTAAGTTGAAGTTATTAATATCCTGAAAGTCAGGGATTTAGAAACGCATCTCTGGCTTGTATAACCTTTGTGCCACTCTTCCTATAGTCATTTACAAGGTCAGGACACTTCTCAGTAGGGACCTTTGACCACAACAGGAGCTCTCCAGCATCTCTAGGTGGGATAGCCGTCACTTTGGTTAATAGCAAAATGTTCTACTGGAATGATACTAATTGATTATATGACATACTGATCTTGCTTATTTGCTTTTTTATAGAATTATAAAATAACGTTTTCAGGTGAATATCTTGCTACACTCCAGAATTCATTATTCTTTCAGTCTGAACACGGACAGCTGTACCAGATAAACAAAACAGCCTCACAATATAACAGATTGCCCTCCAGAGGATCTGACACCTCCTAACAGATGAGATGGCTTTCTCCTCAGTACCAGCTTCACCAGTTTTTTCCACCAAGATGTTTGTTCATCAAAGGTTTTCAAGTGAGCAGATGAGCTTCGTTATCACAATTTCAGGGTATGAGTCATTCTGAATCACACATTTCCGCATTACATCTTTTTTTCATAAATATTTGGACAATTCTAATTCACCTACAATATCTGTATACATCTGTTGTGCCATAGTGTTCATATTATAGCATACTATTATGTTAAACCTTTAGAGGAATCTCGAGCACTCCAGGCACTTTGGTCAAATCAGATTTCACTGAATGGCAAGTCTGAAGACCATGACACAAACAGCCCATGACTCAGTGGGTTTCTTTGTACTCCTCTATTTTCAAACCAAGCCCCTTTCATTCATACAGCCAGAGATTTCCAGGTTGGCCCCATCATCAACAGTCTTATTGCCACTTGCTGTCTCCGTGCTTATGTGTAAGAGTGTCTCCCTGTGATCTTACTCTTTCTGTAGGAGGACCTCCTTGTCAGTCGCTGGCCTCTGCGCCTCATCTGCTCCATCTCCTTCACTTGTTTTGAGCTTAGGGCCTGAGTCTGCCTTCTTCTTGGGCATCTTGAAGGTACACTTCTGTTGGCAGGAGGCACCAGCCTGGGCAGGAGCTGATTAGTCACGTCTATAGAACACATACAGCGTCCCAAGTGATACCAATAGCGATATTGTAACACAATAGTGGATCACGAAAAAAAAAACGTGACATACGAGTTCACTTTTATTCTTTGACATCTAGAAAAATTAATCAGACCCAAACTTGACAGACTAAAAAAGGCGAATTGACAATAAAATACCGCAACAATAATTACACTCTGACACATATGTTCAAGCTGTGCTTCACAGAGTCCTACTTCCTTTAGGCCTAGAAACCAAGAATTCTGCCCCAGTAATCAAAATAACAATTAAACCACACTTTCAACAAGACAAAAAATGCAACGCGATCTTAAGAAAAATGGATACTATTCAGGACTTATTCTCCCTTCCTACAACATGGATACCTAAAACTGAATGGGAATCAAATTGCCTATTGTGACAATGCATCACAAAACTAGGAGAGAACATTTTAACCATTGATCCACACTTTCCTATAAAGAAGATGGCAAGCTCTCTGTAATATTCAGATTACCAAGACAGAAACTGGTCTCCAACACTGATCAGAACAAAGATGTCTCACACGACTCAAGCTTTAGAGAAAGAGGATAATGACGATGTTCCTACTCTCTTTTTTTCCCCTCTGTTCTATTTTTTCTGTTTATGCTGCAGTCCCTGCCTATGGAGCTGGTTAACGACATCTCTAGAAATGGCCAGTCGCTGTTGATTTTTTATTCTTCATGATGGCTGGTCAGTCCTAATGATTCACTGGGGATCTAACTAACTGCAGTGAATCATTGCCAGCAGCCATATCACGCTGCAGCCCACTGAAGCTAAGAAGGTGTGAGCCTGGTCAGTACCTGGATGGGAGACCTCCTGGGAAAAGCTAAGGTTGCTGCTGGAAGAGGTGTTAGTGGGGCCAGCAGGGGGGCGCTCACCCTGCAGTCCATGTGGGGACACTATACTGTAAACAGGCGCTGTCTTCTGGGTGAGATGTAACACTGAGGTCCTGATTCTCTGTGGTCATTAAAAATCCCAGGACGTTTCTCGAAAAGAGTAGGGGTGTAACCCCAGTGTCCTGGCCAAATTTCCCATTGGCCCTTACCAATCATGGCCTCCTAATAATCCCCCTCTATGAATTGGCTACATCTCCTCCCTACTGATA